TGGGAGATACGTATGGGAGATGATGTACAATTTTTTGTGAATTATAAAATTTGGAATATGAAAGTCCGAACATTGCAAAAGAGCATTGCCAAACGTTCCAATCCGAGGGAAAAAGATCCTTAAATTTCTAAATCTTAAGAAGGGAAATCTCCAAGTTTCCAGATTTTGAAACAAAGTTCCCTAGATCCGCTAGATTCCCTAGAGAAAAGAAATCTTTATTTTTCGGATGAAAGAATTGCCCGATTTGTCAAAATCCAAGCAAGCTTGGAAATTTGGAAGCTTGTTGAATCTTCTAATCCGAAAAAAAAAAAAAAAATGAGAATACGAAGAATTCGAGAGACGAGATAAAAGAGGAAATTAGTCGTGAAACTATGAGGTTGTGTATTGTATCATCTATTTATTTATGGAGGCTAAGGTCGATATTTATCTGAATCAGCGTGCACCCAAATAATAGGTAATGAAATCATCGCTAGCTCTATTCCTCGGTGACGTACGACGCCATCGTGAAACTCGACGACAGCTAAACATTTTTATTGTCCTTGCGAAACTTACTCACCGACCTGCTGACTTGCTTGAAACGCACAATATAATGAAACGTATACTAAACAAAAAAAAACCTGACAAAACTCTGCTGCCCTCGCTTTCCATATAAATTTTCTACCCAAATATTTTGTTACTTTAACTCCGCATTTTTACTTTTGCTCTTACAAAGTTTCCTAGTGAAATTTGCAAATAACCTATCTACTTACAATAATTCCCTAGGAACTTAGAAATTAATTCATCAACAAATGAAACTAAAACTAAATATAAACATTCAAAAATAGATTACGATTCTTTTAAAACGATTCCACTAAAAATATCAAAGATATATATCCTAAGAAGACTATGTCTAACCAAAAAAAGCATCCTAATGAACATGTTACAAACAAAAATCCCGAGGGGAATATTCCCAACAAAAAAGTGTAACAATATTACATACGTACAAAGTGTCACGAACAAAAATTACTAAATATGTATTTCAGTCAGAAAACTTTTTCCCCATTCTCGTCACCAGTATCACCAACATAGCCAAACAAAATACTGAAAACGTTCGTCCGGCTGACATTCGTCACGTTGAGCTCCATTGTTTATCGTTCGTCATTGCTGCACCGTTCGAACTTTTTTTCTCGATACACGCAACATTTCCCCTAGAACTTATCTCGAGAAACGAAACCATATCGTGTTCTTTTCCGATCCGATTTTTTTCCCTCGTATATATCCGGCACCTTCTCGTTATCTCGTATCTCGGATATTGCGTCACGCCTGAAAATATGCGCGAAATTTCCAGGACTTTGTAAGTTAGTTCGTTCGACGATTGGAATTCGTTTTTTATCGGCGAGCAGAGCAAGCAAAAGAGAGAAAGGGTAAAGGAGTAGGGGAAAAACGGTTCCCAATATCGTTCGGCAAATCATCTTTATTCATGTTATAAATTAAATTGAACGCGATGAAATATATATATATATGTATGTATGTATGTATGTATGTATGTATGTATGTATATGTATGTGTCTATGTCTTTTTTTATTTATCTCCTCTACTGAAGATAATAAAAGAGTTCGTCGTATACGTATACGGTTTTCCACGAGAGATTGATTTATAGCATTATAAAGAATTAGAGGAAATTCTATTTACATACTTTTTTTATTTCGTTATGAAGAATAAAATTCCATCGCCGAAATATATTCGATTTGTTTAATTTCGTTGGTAGCATTCAACTTTTATATTTTTTTCTGTGAAATTAAGTAACGAAAGAATAAATGGCTAAATACCGGTTAATCTCCGGAATTACATTTAACCTCGAAAGAGCGTAAAAAATTGTACATCCTGTCAGAAATATCAAAAAATTCCTATGAAATATTTTTCTGTTTTTATGAATTTCATGTAACGAGCTATCAAATGATTTACCGTTAAAGAGAAAAATAAATAAATATCGATATATCTCCGGAATTCTATTTAACTTAAAACAAAAAAGTTGAAAAATTATCCTATAACTTGTCTCTGGCCTTTCATTTTATTAATCAGATTTTATGAATGTAAGGAAGAACGAAATAATTAAATAACAGGCTTACTATTGATGTTATTCAAGAGCAAACGACTTCAATTTGCACGGTCCGTTCTTTCGTCTGCCAGTTAAACACGGAATTCTGCGGATAAATAAATTGACGTATCGAATTTCAAAAAGATGACTAAAAATAACTCGCGTTAAATTAGCCACGCGGTGGCTTTCAAACTCGTTATCTACTTCGCTCCTGATAACTTGCCACCTTCGCCATTCTCGTTTCCAGCGAGTTGCTGCGAGTTTCATTATTTTACCGCGTTTATTCATTAATTCACTTGATAAATATTAAACCGTGGAATTTTTAATACCAAACTACCATTAATAAGAACAGAATAAAACTCGACGCGCGTTCAATTAAATTAAATAATACGAATACAAATAACTGGCAACGAGTTCATTTATTAGAATAATTATTTACCACAAATGTGATTCCAACCGTGGCAACGATACGCTGTTATAACCTGTTTTCACGAAAACGAACGCTCCCGACTGCCATAGAAACAGAATTTACGGGTCACATGACAGCGCGTTGCATTCTTCGTCGAAACAGCGCTAATAATTAGCTTCCACCTCTGTCGTCTATCCGTGTCAACGATAAATCCGAATGGCAACTTATCTGCACCAGATTTGATCGACAAAGAACGTCTCCGCGGAACATAACCACAAAATCACAAAAATTCCGTGCGTTGAATTAACCATGTAATGGCACCCTGTGTCTGTGGACTTTGGACTATCAAATTGTACACTAGAGTCTTTTAGGTTAGGTGAGACTTTCACACTTTCGAATCATGTAAAATATTCTAGATAATTTTATTAACGTACATTATATACACTACCATATACATACGTACATTATTACTTATATGCATTGATGTAGATTCACATCTTATGCATACAGTTTGAGGTTATGAAACTCGATGTTTATATTTTGTATAAAAAAACTATATTTAATGATACGATTTAAGATCGTACAGAACAATCAATTATTTATTTTTAGTGTTACTATTTCCAAATACTACTAACAAACATTTAAAAAATTGTCTCCTATTCATTGTGCCAAACATTAAATTATACAAAATATTCGAATCACTAAACATAGAAATATACTGTTCGCGAAAATGATTTTCTTACCTCTTTTGTCATGCCAAATACATTTGCACTTCAAAAAAACTAGGGTGTACTAACTTAAACTTTCTATTGTTCAAAATCGAGCTCGTCTTTTCCTAACACACTTACTCAAGTTATATGTGTCAGTGCGAAAATATTTTAGAGAGTAGAGGCGACCATATACATATATATATTATATATTTATATAGACATTTTTTATGGGAACATAAAAGACCAAGTGTGCCATTGTAAGGTTAGAAAAGTCGATTATACGCCATAATTTTTTATCGCGACTAACACAACACGTTATTTTCACACGAAGGAAATTCATTAGAATTGATACACGATTCCATACACCGCTCGAGTCAATAGTTCAATCACGTATAACGAATCGATTGACGATGATACACTATCGCACGTTTTAAAATATTATGGCTGTGAATCAAAGAAACTTTAAATATATGCTTAGAATATGCAATAAAAAAATCCGGCTCTAATACAAAGAAATACAAGTGAATTTCTAAACATAGTAAACAAATAAACGCTACTGTTTTCCATCACATATACTGTAAACTTCGAAAAACTATATACAGAAATCGAAGAATATTAGTAGGTAACACAGAAATGAAGTTTGTTAACGGCATTAGAACTGTGAGCCATTCTAAACAATATAAAAAAAGGAGATAGAATTTTCAAGTAAGCAAATTTAGTAAACAAAATCTGAAATCTAAAATACGAAAAACGTCGTTAATACCTATGAACATTTGGTGCGATATTAAACTTGTACAAAAAAAAAGATTTTTATAAGAATGTTTGATACACGAGTGCAAGACGAATAAAATTCGATCTAAATAACTGTACACACACTCACACTATATTATCATATACACGAGTGCAACTATATAAATATACTTATAAATACAAGAAATAAATATCCGAGACACAAAGCGTCGTCGTTGCATGTTGCCGGGTTTCTTTCTTCTCGAGTCACTTCCTGCGCTGCCAGTGACTCACGTGAATCACCGAACAGTCAAAAAGAAGAAGAAGAAAAACGAACAGGCGAAAGTATTCTCGAAAGAGTCTCCATGCGCTATTCATCTTTGCCAAAATATGTTCAAAACCAGCAACTTTTCGCACGAATCACTACGTTTATCGTAAATTCGAAAACTCGAAACGAAACGATCCGATAGACGAACCTAACCTATAAGGAAACCTGATCCCTTTCCAGCCACCCAGACGACATCATTTGACACAGGAAAACCGGCGTGTACGCGAACGAAATATCGTCACATGAAAACGATCGCTATATATGCAATTAACAAATTGACTGCCATGCGAATTTTATATATTTGAGAGTCGTAATAAATATACATCACCATAACATTTCATTTTTATCAAATATTATATTGTATTTGAACACTTTTTTCTGACGATATTATCCAAATCTTATTTTAATCTTATTTTAATCGCTCCAAAAAATTTAGTAAAATATGAGTCACCCCACATGACCACCATGGCAGTCAATGTGTTAATAACCAATCCACGTAAGAACAAGTTGCAAACGAGAATATATATAAATACGATAATAGATAGAGAGATGTGATTCTAATCTTAGAAATCTAGCAAAGAATCGGGCACCGCCTGAGAAAACGCGCGGGCGGCCACCGTGCATGATTTCCGGCGGCGTTTGCCTGGCGTGCCACGCCACGACGACCTCGCAGGGGGGTATGGACGCTGTTCTTTTTTTAGAAAACTATATTATCCCTATAGAGACACATTGGTTTTTTTCCCTTACCTTGCACCTTCGAAAATATTCGTTGAATCTGTTTGGCGTACTCGACTCGTACACCCGTGTACCCCTCGGATCTAATGGCCCTCTATCGCACTCTCGTATTCGTCCCTCTCTTTCTTCCTCGCGCACTCCTTCGTTACACTCTCTTCGTCTCCCTCCCTCTCTATCGTACGTTCTCCGTCCTTGTCCACGGCCCACTATATCCCAATCTACAGAGATTCTCCGGCGATTACTCGCTTCCTACTCCTGTGCTGGTCGGTTCGTCGTCCCGTACGCGTAACGAACACATCGAAAGCGACCGCGGGGAGAATCCGTGGACTGGTGCCGACTAATACGGTCGCCACGAACCAGATATAGTCGCTACGAACGAAACGAAACGTGCTCCACCGGTGGCTGAGAAAATTCCGCACTCGGTCGAAAATCTCGCGCGCCGCGCGTGCACCAAAGCTCCTTAGGGCACGGTCCTCTATACGATCGCCTCGATGAGCCGATAATCACTGGCTCGAGGCGGGTCTTCCACACACCACCGGATAACAACCTCAGTTCGGATAATGATTTTACTAGATACGGTCGAACGGCCTCGATACGGTTCCTCTCGGTTTTCCAAAGCACTTTCGCGAAAAGCAGCACGACACCAGCCCACGATTCTACCGTTATCTAGGGCGATGCCTCTCTGCTGCTCGCCGCTTTGCCCTCCGTCTCAGACTATGCAGCTACGTAGACTGCGAAGATGGCCGTGCTCGGTGGCACATACGCGGCACGCGTCTGCCTTACCAACTTATGGCGGTCGGTGTTGCGTCGATAACAATTGAAATACGGTTTCCGCTGTCCTGTGAATTTAGCTTTCTTTTTAGATTTGGCGGTATCGATATGTAAATTGGGAGCGAAGTTTGAAATTTTCTATACAGATCGCTCATTTGCTGCAACAACTTGAAAATTACAATTTTAAAGGAAACGAGTTTGAACGTTTTAAATCGTGTCAAATAGATATAACAAGATGTCGAGCTTACACGAAGGTATTGTAATGTTAGCATCGTGTCCTTTATGGAGGCGACGGCACGTGTCAAGGTCTCACAAGAACGATCGGGCTACCAATATCCATAAGCATAGGCATGGTGATGACAGGTAGTTAAGATGCGCGTATGTTATGTTATAGTTTTGGGTGATGAGTGGCAACCCAATATTTTCCTAATTAATTCTCAGAAATGCGCACACATGTGTTCCGGCCTGATAACAGGGTGTCCTACAGTGCATGTAGGGTGATAAGAATGTCTTAGAAGGATTTGGTCACGGACTGAAGAAGACGATGTAACTTCTGGCAAGAGAATTGAGTCGAACAGTTCAGCATTTGCCCCAGAACCTCGAAAGAGAAAAGTTACCTAGAAAAATTTATAAGACATATTTACCTTTAAGCTACCCCATTCTGAGTTTCCATAATCCAAATTATAATGCAATTCCCTTAATTCCCAAAATTCAAATTATGATGTAATATGAAAACTCTTGTTAAATTTTATCGTTATTGGTATAAAACAAGAAATTTCCAAAGCTTAATTTGAAGTATACATAAAATATTATTGTTATTCATTTAGTGAATAAGAAAAAAATTTAATTTAACAATAAAAGAACTAAATGGGGCAATAAAGTTGCAAGTCTAAAGTTCTCACAATCAACGATTTTACCGGCAATATTAATTCATTATGAATTAAGTTATTGAAATATTAGTCATTTGTGTGGATTAGAATTTATATATTAGTAATAAATTGATTATTAGAATGCATATAACGTGCTTACGTTATAGAATTAATTAAAAATGGCAGCAGTGTTTTAAAATGAAAAAAGTTGCAACAATTTTCGGGCGTTTATAAGTAACCAACTAGTTACGTTTCTTGTCTAGGGAAATGCACGTAATCGTATTCAAATTCTTTACAGCAGACATTTGTTTCTTGCTTTTCAAATCGTTTTTATGCTTCGTTTTTTATCTTATTATTAATTTATAATGACGTTAGAAGTAAATAATCGGTGTTATTAGTTGTTAAATGGTTTAAAGAGCAGTGCATTTCCTTTCAGTCACTTAATTACTTGAAATAACGAAATATTACAACACTGGTGAGTTTTTCCATTTTTTAAATTTCATTATCACTATATGGTGTGTCAAATATGCAAAGAAGTCTATAATTCTTTATTTATGAATTAAAATAGGATATATTTGTTTGGTTTACGTATATTAGATATTTTATGTTCTTACTATTATAAATGTGTGTCTATACGTATATGGAACACATATACTTAAATTGTATACGTGTATGTGTATTTCTTATTATAAATAAAATGTTTAAAAAATTAAATTTTTGAAAATTAAGATAGTATTATAATGTATTGAAAATGGAAATTGTCAGATAAAAATAATTTGAACTTGCAAAAAATTTGTTTCACGTTGATTGTGCACTCTATGATTGACGTTCGTCGCGCAACTGCGTGATATAATTTTGACGATATTCTTTAATTTTTATGAAACATGTATTTACATGGTTTTTTATTACTTTTCTCTAACATTTAGTAGATAACAAATACATATTTTTATTCTAATTGTCACGTTAGAGGTCAATAAGAAACAAAGTGATAAGATTCTTTTAAATGTTTGAGGTTATATATATATATTATTTCGAATAATTTTACTTGTCATTATTCATTAATTCAATGAGTGTTATTTTTAATATTGGTGGTTTCTTCGTGTTTAATTCAACAAAGCGATCGTATTTCATAATTTTTCGTACAAAGAAAGTTTAACAAGTTGTTCACCAAAAATGGAAGTAAAGAAAAGAATTCGAAAGTTAAAAATTGCGAGTCAAGCCGAAATTCTACGATCACATCAGAGGGACGATGACTTTGTTAAATATCTACGAGAAAAGATCGCGGATGTTCTACAAATTCTTGAAAGGCGAATTGGCTTGCTACCCCTGATACACTCAGACATTCCATTCAAGTTAATTTATTTCTTTTTTACCTCGGGATTGGGGAACCAGACGTTAGGAGAAGAATACACTGGAATTGTGCAGGCCAACTTAGATGCTCAAAAAGTTCCATCTATATATGTATGTTAAAATACTTTAAAAGTATTCTAAACACAATGCACTAAGCTCTATTAACATGCAATATTTAACTTATTATTCAGGCAAGGGTACTGGCAGTAATTTTAGAATGCCTTGGAGAGAAAGCATTGATAAGATTACTAAAAAGATTAGAATTATCAGTCAATCATCCTCATAGTAAATTAACTCCTGCAGCTGCAATATTTTTAAACTCTTTCATAACAAAAATGTATACTATGATACCTATTTTCATATTAGTGCACAAGGGACTATTTTATATGTTTGGTCACTATTATAGTTTGGGCAAAAGAATAGCACGAGTAGATTATGCAAAGGTAATTTTTACACAATAATATTATTATGATGGTGATTGAGATATTCTCTACTAGTTTCTTTTAAATTTAAAGGTATATGGTCATCGGCCTACTGATACTATCAGTTGGGGATTAAAATTATTAGGAATTGCTACGCTTGCACAGTGTGCGCTAAAGATCTGGCAAAGCAAGGACAGTGAAAGCCCTTTTAATAAATACTTAACAGTCACTGAGAAACATAGTAAGCTGATGTGTCAGTTGTGCCTTGAAAAAGTGCCAACAACTACCACACCCTGTGGTCATTTGTTTTGTTGGTTTTGCCTTACTGATTGGTTGAATACTAAACCACAGTGTCCACTCTGTAGAGAACATGTTGTACCTACTAGAATAGTGCATGTAATGAATTTGTAAATATTTTTAACTACTTATAAAGAGAAATTAATAAAAAACAACATGCAGATGTTTCTTTTTTACACTAATTACTAAGTTAGGGATAAATGATCCACACTAGCACTATTTTGTACGTTTTAACATTCTTATAATTTTGTTTTGTTTTGAACATTAATTACCATCTGTGCAAATAACGTTTTTATACAGATGGCAGTCGCAAATACACATACATGTATCATCAGTAAATTATAAAGCAAAACTAGTAGACACACGCACGCATTTACATATATATATATACATATATATATATATACATATATATACATATAAATATTATATATATACAAAAATATCAAGTTTTTATTCATGTCACGCGATTACACGCTATTCTTTCTTTTTTGTATAACAACGCATTATTCGCATAAGCGACAATGTACAATTGTTTTATTTTCATTGTATAGGGTTCTTATAAAATTCTAAATTGAGTCAAACAATTGATAACAGTAAACTTATAATTGCGCTGATGGGAAGAGAGGGTATGAGAAGTTAATGATGTTATAGTCACAAGGATGTGCGTTGAACGGAAAGAATTCCAACTTTCTCAGCAAAGTTTCCTAGTAGCTGACCAAAGCCAACAGATTCGGAATTATCCTTCATTCGGAACCCAACAGTTTGACTATAAGCGTTGTAAAATATTCTTCTTAAACACTGTAACTTTTCTTTGCGGGATCTAGAATAGAAACGTTAAACGTAGAAATCGTAATTCGTTTTATTGAATAAAAAACACTTTATGGTAATTAAAAATCTTTATGGTACTTACTGTGCCAACGACGCAAATACTTCATCCTCGATAATTGTCGTGCTTGATTCTTGGGACGTATGTACGGTATAATTTTCACCGAAGTGTTTCGAAATTGAACTACATGCCATTGCGTCTATAATCGGAGCATTAGCAGTTGTAGAACCACGTAAACTTCCGGTTCCGGATATCATCTGCCATGAACCACCAGACGAAGAGGATTCGTTTCGTTGTCGAAGACGTCCAGGTACGGGAACTGCGACGGGAGAAGTCCGATTAGGTGGCAAAGGTGACCGTGATCCATGAGCAATTCCTTCTTTATTTGGAGAAGTATGAATTGACCATGGTACCACGCTCCTATAAAATGAGCAATTAAATTAATTGGAGAGAAATGTATACTAAATACGATAAGAAAGAAAGTGTATGTACCCATTAGTAGGATAGTCGTCTTGACTTTCTCCGGAAGAACAATGAAACACAGCTGGTGGATTGTTATCTTGGCTATCTCTGCTATTTTGACTAACAGAACTACACCAACTATTCAGACTTAAGTTGGAACTAACTGAACTCAATGTCACTACCGATTCGTTATCGAACATAGCGTTGTCTGACTGTGAGTCACTGTCGTTGCGTAAAACCAAGTGCCTAGATCTGCCATGACGCAGATGAATACTAAACTCTTCCTCATGAATGTGCTTTAAAAAATAAAAGCAAAAGAAGAATATTTCCTCTCCTTTGCTTAGTCGATCCTCTAAATCATGGCCAAACAGCATCCAATCGTATGCTATGGTATAGTAAAGAATCTGATGCGCGTTCAGTGATGTGTGAATTACACCATCAGCCCACAAACTGATCCTCAATAATGAAGTAAATAAAGGTGTGCGATCCCATCCTATAAACAGAGTTTAATTCTGATTATGTTATGTAATTATTCGTTATTAATTAAATTAAAAAATCGTTATTTGTTAGGAAAAATGCATACCTGAGATACAATGAATTAATATTCCACTGCTACTGTCGCTCAAATATCTTAATATCAGTTTTAAATAATTTTGAGTTAATTTTACTAGATCCCAGACTTGATATTGATCCCAATGGATTTGTAACTGAGTAGAAATTGAATCTG